TATCGAATTTACTATATGTTTTGGAGATGGCGGCTGGCTTACAGTGGCGGTTCGCTTACTGAATACATTACTCTGTACGGAGTACTGCTTACTTAAATAGGTACATGATAGTTATCCTTCTCAGCTACGAGTTAGCATTGGTATGGGAGAAGATATTCTCCTACTTTGAGATTATGAGTCACTAAAGGCTAAATCGCTAACGTATCCGTCTAAAGTTAACTCCAGAGTAGATGTCTGTACTCTGTAGGCCCTCTGGTTCCTGATAAGAAAGCTAATCAATATGAGCAGAGCATTGCTTCGTATTCTATGGAGGTTTATTGTGTAATGAACCGGTATGTACTGTCACACTGTATCTACTGGCTCGGTAATGTGTATGTGCACCACCACCCTAGGGAAAAGCAAAAAAGGAAAAAAAAAAAAAAAGTGAAAGTAAAAACAGACTCCGCTTGCAGTAAAATATTAACTAGGATGATAGTGACGTACATTCTCTGACATACTTCGTAGGTGCCGTTCTTCTTCCTCTCTAAAGTATTGAGCTGAAGGTATGAGACTGGCTTACTTCAAAAATTAAAGTAGTAATGTGATCAATTCCTGTTATTTGATAAGCACAACTGTTTTATTTTTGCCTTTTTGTTTTCCTTCCATTCTCCTCTGGGCTCTCTTTTCAAGGGAGTTTTGATAGAATCTATTACGGGCCAGAAGCAAACCACTGCAAAGACCGCTAATCCGCCACTCAACCGCCCCTTTTTTTGCATCCCATTTCTTCTCCTCAAGGTTGTGTGCTTTACAGAAAGCTTTTCAATCACCCGCAACCCTCAGTTCCGTCATCGAAGTTCACAGTTATTAAGACTATTGTTTGCTGTCTTCAGGCGGCACATAGGACTTGCTTTCCCTCCCTCTCCCTCCCCTCCTCTCTCTCTTATTTTTCTCCTGGATGGATCAGAATTGTGACCGTAGTAGCAGTCGTTCTGTTGGAGTTGGATCTTCTAAAAGCAGCATAGAGAGCGTTACAAGATTGGCTGCCTCTTCATCAAGTGCTGGCCTTGACAAGACAGATGAATCAACAACATCTCTGGTCGACCAGAATGAATCGCCCGTCGCCTTGAGAGGAATACATGGCATGCAGTCCCACCAAGCCAAGGCCAACAAAACCGATTGCACGTCTGATAATCAGACCACAGGGCGCAGTAACCATCCTTCCACCCGTTCTTCTAGCAGAGCACCAAGAAGAATGAGTGGAAGCACGGCCGCAAGTTCCATTAGCGAGGCTGAGCCTGCACCCCCTAGCTTAGGAAAGATTGGAGTCTGTGCTCTAGATGTCAAAGCTCGCAGCAAACCTAGCCAAAACATACTGACTCGTCTTCAATCCAAGGGCGGGTTTGAAGTAATTGTTTTTGGTGACAAGGTGATCCTCGACGAAGCTGTAGAGAACTGGCCCGTATGTGACTATCTCATTGCGTTCTTTTCGGACGGCTTCCCATTGGACAAGGCTATTGCATATGCGAGGCTCCGAAAGCCGTTTTGTGTCAACGACTTGCCGATGCAGAAGGTCCTATGGGATCGGCGACTTTGTTTGAGGATATTAGACAACATGAGTGTTCCTACGCCAAAGCGGTTAGAAGTTAACCGAGATGGTGGTCCAACATTGGAGTCTCCTGAACTTGCCCAACACGTATATCAACTGACCGGGGTCAAGCTTGAAGGCCCCGAGGACGGCACCGGAGGAGGTCTCTCTAGGACGAAGGAAGTGGCAATGTCTGATGATGGTGACTCTTTAATCGTGGACGGGAAGGTATTTAGAAAGCCGTTCGTTGAAAAACCGGTCAATGGGGAGAATCATAACATTCACATATACTTTCCTAACGATCAGCAATACGGTGGCGGCGGCCGGAGGCTCTTCCGAAAAGTTGGAAATAAAAGTTCTGAATATGATCCAAACCTGGTCATTCCTAGGTCAGTGACGGAAAATGATTCCAGCTATATCTATGAACAGTTTGTGAGGGTGGATAATTCTGAGGACGTCAAGGCCTACACTGTCGGCCCAGACTTTTGTCATGCGGAAACACGGAAGTCACCCGTAGTCGACGGGCTTGTCCGTCGCAATACGCACGGAAAGGAGCTTAGGTACATAACCAAATTAAGCAGGGACGAGGCGACAATTGCTTCTAAAATATCGAACGGGTTTGGCCAGCGCATTTGTGGCTTTGACATGCTTCGTGTTGGTGACAGAAGCTATGTGATTGATGTTAATGGCTGGAGCTTCGTCAAAGATAACAATGACTATTATGACAGATGTGCCAGTATCTTGAAAGATATTTTCCTACATGAGAAACGCAGACGTGAAGGGACCCTGGAATCTGAATCTTTCCACCAAGATTTGAACCATTCCTGGAGGAACTCTGTGTCTCACAGGCACTCATTGAAGACTCTGTTGAAATCCCCTAGCGCATCCAAGCTTCATGGAAGTCCTCCGGGCCACAAAAGCCCCGACAATGTTCTCCCGGAAAGTACCCTTCCAGGGCTGTCTACCTCTTCCACGTTTGAGGGGCTAGATAATGGGAATAACCATAAAAAACCGAGCGGACGGGAAAGGTTTTCATTCTCAGGAGGTTTAGTTCCTCAGACTGCAAATGCATCTGTCACGTCAACAGATTCTGTTGATGACGCCCCTCCTCCACCCCCAGCTTCTAAACACTCGTGGAAGCTCAAGGGTATGGTAGCAGTTATCCGGCATGCAGATCGCACACCGAAGCAAAAATTCAAGTTTACTTTCCACAGCCAACCTTTTATTGATCTCCTGAAGGGACATCAAGAAGAAGTGGTCATCAAAGGCGAGGCTGCACTGGCCAGCGTTTCCGATGCAGTTAAGGTGGCAATGGAGCGAGAACTTGAAGATATGGATAAGCTCAAACTTCTCCGTACATCCCTTGAGAAGAAAGGTGGTTGGCCTGGGACAAAGGTTCAAATAAAGCCGATGTTTCGCAAGCGAAAACCAGAAGAATCGCGTGAACAAGAGATCTCCACGGTTCCAACGAAGCCTGCCGAGGGCATCCCGGATACACCTGGGTCCCCTAGTCTTGGTGAGGCGCCCGGGGGGGGTGAAAAATTAACTAGGACCCAGACCCGGAGCGACTCTATATCTGGTGCCACTTTCTCCAGGTTTTCTGCTGCAGAGAACGATCTCATTTTAGACAAGCTCCAGCTTGTAATCAAATGGGGGGGTGAGCCAACACATGCAGCGCGCTACCAATCTCAGGACCTCGGTCTTAATATGCGCGATGACTTAAAATTAATGAACAAGGAAGCTTTGAATAACGTTCGGATATTCACGAGCTCCGAGCGAAGAGTGAGTACCAGCGGTAAGTCTACGCATTCTTCGGCTTAGTAGGTAGCTAGCTAAGCGAGTCTCATAGCTCAAATATGGGCCTGCTCTTTCCTCGATCAAAAGGAGCTTCCGGACGATTTCATACAAGTCCGGAAAGACCTTTTAGATGACTCGAACGCCGCGAAAGATCTTATGGACAAAGTGAAAAAGAAACTGAAGCTGCTTTTGCGAGAAGGATCCGCACCCTCGCAGTTCACATGGCCTAAAGATAATATCCCAGAGCCTTCAGTCGTCCTCGCTACGGTTGTTGAGCTTATGAAGTTTCATCGGGATGTTATGAGGCACAATTTCCGGAAACTTGAGAGTTCATCGAGCCGTCCGTTTGAACCATACTCTCCTAATGATGGTCCTTCCAACACACACGGTGAGGCTTCTCCATTGGCTTCTATTCAGGGACGCTGGTGCACTGGTGAGGACGCTATGCTTTTCAAAGAGAGGTGGGAGAAGCTTTTCGCCGAGTTTTGCGACACGGAGAAGGTTGATCCTAGCAAACTCTCTGAACTATACGATAGTATGAAATTTGATGCTCTCCACAACCGGCAATTCTTGGAATGGGTGTTTATGCCTCCGGACACCGACGATGATGTGGAGGGGGAAGGTTATTCCAATTCGAGGACGCGAAACACTGCTATCGGAGACATCATACCAGGTAACGAAGGTGTAAATCATGAAAGGAACGAGGAGCATGCGGACAGTTCAACTTTTGCGCGTCGATTGGGGCTGAAGCGACGAATGCATGCATTTGAATCAATGCCGCATTTCAGGGCCCTGGATGACACCTACGATCACTATTTCAAGTTATATCCAGGCTCAAGTGCCAAGAAAGCTAAGCTGGATAGCAGGTTATCTAAGTTAAGAGAGTTGTACAAGTTGGCGAAGGTTCTTTTTGACTATGTCACTCCTCAGGAGTATGGAATTACTGATACGGAAAAGCTGGAGATCGGTTTGTTAACATCTTTACCATTACTCCAAGAGATCGTTAGGGATTTGGAAGAAGTTCAGGCCTCGCCAGATGCCAAGTCCTTCTTCTATTTCACAAAGGAGTCTCACATATACACCCTCCTGAATTGCATCTTGGAAGGTGGTATTCAGACGAAAATCGCTCGGCGGGCTATCCCCGAGTTAGATTATCTATCTCAAATATGCTTCGAACTTTATGAAGCTAAGGATTCTGAGTCATCGACGAATTCTTATTCAATTCGTATCTCGATCAGCCCTGGGTGCCATGCATTTGATCCCCTTGATGTGCAGCTCGATTCGAGACATGCAATCGGTTGCGCCCCTAGGCGAAGCCTAACCGCTCACCAAGACTGGAAGAACGTTATTGAGACGCTCAAAGCAAAATTTGACACGTAAGCCTCATCCAACATGTCTGTTATCTACGATTTATCCTAGGTTAGTACTGACAAATGTTCCTGTTCAGAGTCAAGCTCCCGAAAACATTTATTGCAGTGAACCTGAGCGATAAACATGTCCCGGCCCATGAGGAGGGATCTTGATCCCCCTGTATATTACATGCGTCCAACTTTGTCGAAATTTTATGGGCCGCATGTGGCTCCCTTGTTGTTATTATGAATCAATGTCATGAAATAAAACTACCAACTCTCAAAGGCGGAGGCTACCTACCTTCCTAGCAGCCTGCCTAGTGATTAATTTAGGTTATGGAGTACCTAATAATTGACCGATTGTAGGATTTAGTAATCCTTTGGTCGTGGTTGTCACTCAAAACATTTTACCCCACCAGACAGTAAGCATAACCTAGCGTGTAATTTGTTCAACTTTTATTCCTATTTGAGTGTTTCCCACGGATCTCGCTCGCTCACTCAACCGCCTCCATCAGTAACCCAGCATCTTGATTCTTATCAGCGATCGCCATTTATTAGATAAGAGAACAAACGAGAGCAGAAAAAGATAAAGGTGCGAAGTAGAGTATTTTTTTTACTTCATTGTCTTTAATGACGCAAGCAAGAGAATCCATGGCCCAACTACCAGATTCAAGTCAGTTCCGTGCTGATCTGATTGAAAACTATGTCCGGTGCTATAACCAATGGAAGGAAATAATAGTCGCTATCGATGACATAGTCTGTGTTCTTCCTGAAACTATGTGTACTGAAGTTGGTTATAAGTTGCTGTTTCTTCAGAGAAGATCTGAAGATACAAATACAGAGGATTCCACGTACCTGGAAAGTATTCAGCTTACATCTCTGTCGCCCACACTGCGTTCTCAGTACTTGTGCACAGAGCTCCCTCGTCATTTGTGCTCACACGAAACTGAAATCCATATAATCGTATCCACAGCGTCGGGAACAGGGGCTGCCAAGAATTTGTACAGAAATATTCTACAGCCTTTCCTATTGCAACTTGGTGTATGTGATTACAACATCCATGAGACACGATCCTCACGGACCATCACGGATCTATGCAAGTCAGACTTTCTTCCTTGCGCCCAGACAGGCATCCATGAGACCATTATCCTCCTCTCAGGGGATGGAGGAATAGTCGACGTAGTCGATGCGATATACAGTGCCCCGTGGCACTCAATCACCCGGCCCACCATTGTCTTAGTCCCCACAGGAACTGGAAATGCAATGGCTAGTTCCCTGGGACTCACTTCACATCCAACAACCTGGTTGAACGAGCTGCTGCGAGGAAGACCGAGGCCTTTACCGACCTTCGGCGCCAAGTTTTCACCCGGCGCACAATATGTCACCGAGGAAGGCCGTGCTCGGGCTAGTATAAGTGCCAACTTTAAAAGCAAGTATGAAATTCCGAAGGTACATGGTGCGGTTGTTGCAAGCTGGGGCATACACGCCGCCTTAGTTGCCGATAGTGATACCACTGAATACCGCAGCTTTGGTGCCGATAGGTTTAAATTGGCTGCAGAGGAACTTCTCTTCCCTCCAAGCGGTGCCGAAAGCCATAGATATGCTGGTACAATTAGTCTCACCAGGTGGGATAATGAAGCTAACAGCGAGTATGTTGAGATCATGGAGATTAAAGAACACATGTATGTGCTGGCAACGATGGTCCCGAGACTTGAACGTGAGTTCGTGATCTCACCCGAGTCTGTTCCACTGGACGGTCGCTTGAGAATCATCCACTTTGGTCCGGTACCTTCCGAAAAAGCCATGCAGTTAATGGCCTCCGCGTATCAGGGAGGTCAGCATGTGTTTGACAGGAGTGTCTTCTACTCGGAGATTGAGAGGCTTAAGATTGTATTCCATGAGACGGATGAGAGGTGGAGACGGGTGTGCATTGACGGCAGAATCATTGCAGTCGAGTGTGATGGCTGGATGGAGATATACAAGGAGCCAGAATGTCTATTAAACATTCTGACGTCCGTTGAGTTTTAAAACCAATGACTATGTCTTAATTTTCAGCGTGTATGTTTCCATGAGAACTTCCCCGCCTCTTCTTATTTACTCATTAGATGGCTACAGTGGGAGTTTGGAAGTATATGACCTAGGGATTGGGGTCACATGCTTTAGAACCCCCACCATATTAGCCTTTCCACTGATTCCGTCCTGGAGACAATCGATCCGCGTTGGGTGTATTCCTTGATCAGCCGAGCAATAACACTGGCTCGGTTCAGTATGGTACTGTGATTACTCTAGGTATTTAGTGTGCTGGTTGTACTGCATGTATGTACAGTACTTGGATTCTTTGCTTCACCTGGCGCCAAGTCGAGTGGCCATATCTTAGGGCGCCGCAGTCAAAGACTGGATCAAATATATATGAAGGAATTGACAAGGTATAAATTGGTTCTAGTTATAGTATAATATAGATCTCTTCCACTTGTATTACTCATGTATATCCTTGTCGCCGCTGAATACAACTTGGAAGTAATATACCTACTATACTCTGTACAGGTTGTCAAATAGTTAGTATCTCTGGAGTAGGGGTTAGTCAGTTTCACTTTGGCTAATAAATTTCAGTTGAAAATAGTACCAAGGCGGGATTAAAGCTTGGCCAAATTAATAAGCCAGTCAGCCTAACTTGGCGCCTAGGCTCTAGCGTCCGGTACTCCTCCTGTTAGATGGAGCCCTGAAAGCAGATTGCACATACCCCTTACTAGTAGTACTGTACAGGGGGTTCCTTCATCATTATTGGCTTCTGACGTACAGCAAGTGTGGGGGCAACCTTGAATAACGCAACTAGTAGTTCGGTACTTTCTACAGAATAACCTCTGTATCTCGGAACTCGCTCGCTATTAACAGTTGATCAGACCCTTGATCAAAACTCCAGCGCTAGACACGCTGCCAGTAGTTCTTATTGAGGGCCATAGGCTTCCATGCATGTGACCCAGAAAACCTCGCCGACCGACAGCCATCTTGACCAGTCCTATGATGGGAACAGCTGCGTTTGGTATCGATGCTTATCAGCCCTCGAACTTATCACGCTTCGCAGATACCAGATCGAAGACAACAGTCCCACAGCAGTGAGGATAGCCCCAAATTTCGTTCGCTTTTCGGGTGGAGCACTGGTTCTACCAATGATAGAAGAGCCGCTGAAATGCTATTGATTCACCAGACGGGCAGTGTGCGTGTGGGTGAGGTGGTCAGGTCTGTTGCCATCAATATGATAGTCTTAGTCAAGGCTTTCCTATTCGCAATACTGACCTCAGTCTTGTTATAAACAGGTACACAGTAACATACACACCGGGTGCCGACACCGCCAGTTCCATCCCAGGGGAATTATTTGTGAAAGTCAAGAATACATCTGCAATTCCCCTCCGAGCTGCATACCTTCATGGCCCATATACCCTCTATACCTCTTGCTACCCATCCACGTTCGATCCAAATGTCAAACTCGATCAGCAAGCCACCGAAGGTATTCCGCAGTTTGAACCATATCTCAAAGCTGGGGGCAGTTGGGATGCCGTCATCACCGTGCCCCGGCGGCTTCGTCAAATGTCAGATGCCGCTTCTTCCGAGCCCCAAAGTCACCAGAAAGTAACCTGGATCATAGAGATACTATCCCAAGTGATATTTTCGAGCACCGCATCCGTCAACTTTGAGCTCTTAGTGGGCCGCGACCAAAAATCAGTGGAGTTATATTCTTCTGGTGCAGCGTCGACCACTGGGCATCAAGCAGCTCAACTAAGTGACCACTGGTTACCGAATGCGAAAGGCAAGCAAGTGTTTACTACAAACGGGGTGTTTTCGAGATCCATAACGTTGCAGATAGATGATACTGTGAGTCTCTGGAACACGCCCGTCCTTCCTTCCTTCGACAAAAGCTGCGGGGCGGAAAAGGATAAGGGACCAAGCGAAGGCAGTCCAACAAACAATGCCGAAGTACCGACAAGATCCAGCGAGTCAATTGATCAGTCGCAGAACAACAGGCGTAGAAAGAAAATACACCTTGTGGTTCTGACCCATGGCCTTCATAGCAACCTTGGTGCGGACATGCTTTATCTCAAGGAGAGCATTGATACTGCAGCCAGAAAAGCTAAGGAACAAGCCTATAATGCTCGTCAAAAGCATAAAAGCGAACAGAGCAGCAACGATGACGACGATGACGACGAGCAAGTCGTTGTTAGAGGATTTCCCGGAAATGCAGTCCGTACGGAACGCGGAATTCAGTATCTTGGCAAGCGTCTCGCCAAATATGTCTTGCTAATGACATATCCAGACCAGCCTTGTAATCCTTGTCACAATGTAAAGGCAAAGACCCTACCGAAATCTCTTGCCCCCTGGAGGAACGCGGCGGCGGAGTTTCCTAAGGACCATACAGCTTCTGTGCCAGGGCCAACCAGAGGGGGCCATGCCTATCGAGTCACCAGCATCAGCTTTATCGGCCATTCTCTCGGCGGGCTCATCCAGACATATGCCATTGCATACATCCAAAAACATTCCCCTGAATTCTTTGATGTGGTTAGGCCCGTTAACTTCATCGCCTTAGCGACTCCTTTCCTCGGTTTGAGCAATGAAAACCCTATGTACATCCGCTTTGCCTTAGACTTAGGTCTAGTTGGTCGGACGGGCCAGGATCTAGGACTTAGTTGGACAGCGCCTAGAGTGAGAAGTGGCTGGGAAGCTATAATTGGTGGAAAAGGCAATTCAGCTAAACCACAAGGACAATCAGATGCTGGATCAAAGCCTCTACTAAGAATCCTTCCCTGTGGTCCTGCGCATGAAGTTCTCGCCAAATTCCAACACCGTACAGTCTACTCTAATGTGGTCAATGATGGAATTGTACCTTTGAGGACTTCTTGTCTTCTTTTTCTTGACTGGAGAGGACTAGAACGAGTTGAAAAGGCGCGGAGAGAAAATGGGATAGTTGGTACAATGGCTGAATGGGGGTGGGCCGAATTGACCGGCGCAAATTCAAAATCGCCACGGACGGCTCGCTCAGGAACAGAGTCGGAGTGGAAAGATACTGAGGAAACAAACAAAGCCCACAAGGACATACCGACGATGCCTGCCAGTGCTCCGATCCATCATCAGCCATCAGATCGATCCCAACATTCAATTTGGCCTGATACGACAATAGATGCAGCTCCAAAAGATAACCAACCTATAACCTATGGCCCCTTGAGCAATCTTTTTTCTATATTCCGGCCAAAAGAAGCTGTTAGAATATCACCTGGGCAGAAGCAATCTAAGATGCTTAAACGTAGCCAAACACTTGGCACATCGAGTCATGTCATACAGGGGCCACCGTCTCCTGGTGCCCCTACCCATGAGCCATATACCGATAGTCAACCGTCTGATGACCATGGGCTTTATGCGCCGCCAAAGACGACCCTTTTTGAGTCGGCCAGTGATCTTCTCATGCCACCCCTTCCTCCCATTGAATTTATAATTGATCCTACTTCAAGACCTCGGACTATTTTCCATGACCGGGTCTATAGCCCTGAGGACATACCTCCCCCCTTGACTCCTAAGAGACGAACCTTAACCTTTGGTTCTTCCCAAAGTAAGGCCTTAAGAATAGGGTCATCTTCATCGGATGAATCTTCACATCGCGATTTAAATGAGAGTGAGAGTGGGCTCAAAGTCGAAGAGAAGATCGCAAGAGCTTATCACCGCGACCTAACGTGGCGAAAAGTGCTTGTTCGTCTTGAACCAGATGCACACAACAATATAATTGTTCGACGAATGTTCACGAACGCGTATGGTTGGCCTGTGGTAAAGCACCTCGTTGATACTCACTTTGGGTATACATCTGCGGCCCAATCTAAAGATGATTCCGCAAGTGGGGTAGAGAGGGCGAGGCCACCCGGAGTCCCAACAAATAGCTTAGGTGAAGAAGTGCAAGGACAAGTTGAACCCCCTATAGATGATTCGACTTCCGCACGAGGGCTCCCAGGCAGCCCGATCGTCGGGATTGGTTCTACTGATCAAACCGGGCCCGGCTTATCCCAAGAAAGTCGGCTAAACTCTCCGTGCAAGTAGAGGTTTGTATCGTGGATTATGCTTGCTTTATTATTTCACCCTTCCTATTTGTGTTTTCCCTCAAGCGCTATTCATTGTATGTACATACATAGACACGTGGGTGTATCCTCCTGTATATGCGCTAATGCATAGTAGTTTATCATTGATTTTTCAACCCACAGCCTGGGAAACCTTCATATTTCTCCCTCACACCTCTCCTGCTCTCTTCCTGGCCTTTTCTTTTTGTAACGAGAAGACCTGATCTTTGTCCGGCCGTATTGATAGTAGGCTTGTGCCTGTACGTCGGATACGTCAATACTCAAGCCTCCCTTGAATATTTCCCCAGAATTCCTCAACAAGCTCTCTTTGACCAATCTGGCTTGGAGAAGCTCTAACAGCGAGGTAGACCCTTCCGTCTATGACGGCCTGCCACCCGCCGGGATTACCGTCAACCATGATACCACCGGCCTCAGTGAGGATAACCCAGCCAGCGCACACATCCCACGCCCAACAGCCGCCTTCCCAGTACAAGTCAAGAGTGCCGGCGGCCACCGCACAGAGGTTGAGTGCGGCCGAACCCATGCTACGCATCGAACGAACCATTGCACCGCCCTCATCTTTAGCTTGGCCGAGCTTCTCCAAGGTTCGCACCTTTGTTTCCCAATTTCTCCCCATTCTATCGGAACCCCATTCAACAGCGATGAGAGAGTTTTGCAGACCTTGCAGTGGCTCAAGGTCTATTCCCTTGAGTGGAAGTTTGACACTGCGGTTCAGGAACGCCCCTTGGCCACGAATGGCAGAATAAAGGGTGTTATCGAATGGATTGTATACAATACCAACTACGGGAACCCGGTCAATGACAAACCCAAGAGACACACAAGCATGAGGGAAGCCATGCACGAAATTAATTGTCCCATCGATGGGATCAATCACAAAAGTGGGGGCAGTAGTCAAGGGATGACTTGGGTCATATGTTTCCTCCCCATGGAACCTAGCGATGAAGTAAGGAACAGACCACATCTACGGGGTGACATACGATAACTTTGCGGACAACCAAATGAGAGTCTATTTGGAAGTGACGGAAGGTATGATATGATGTACATACTGGTAATCTGGGTATTTGTCCTTCAGCGCTGCAGATATCATTTCTTCAACTGCACGGTCATATTGGGTGACAAGATCCGCACCTAACGTTGTAAGTCAAGCTGGGTTACCCATTACATACTTAACCATTCAGCTGTGCATACTATTCTTCTTCGATCCAACACCATCCGTAGTGGGGAGAGCACCCATGATGATCTCTCCGGCTTTGTATGCTATCTCAATGAGGGAATCATGGATATGATTCAGATTGGGCATGCCACCATCGGCCCTGCTTGTTTCTGGCGTCATGTCTTGGAATGGAGCAGTTTTGGTTGCAAACTATGTGTACAAAGTATATATGTGGGAAACCTAAATGGCGGGAATATCCAACGTGTAAATAATGTAGATGGAGAGATAAGGGCGTATCTTCCCTTAACTTAGATTTGCTCGTTGCAGTGCTGTGGGAAATAGTCAAATAAATATAGATAATGGGTATAGAAAAATTAGGGCAAAGGTGCCGCCCTCTCGAGTGTACTGTTTTGTGTGTGTGTGTGTGTGTGTGTGTGTGTGTGTGTGTGTGTGTAATGTACCTAGGACGGATTAAGTGAAGGACAGAAGCAAGAGGGAACACTGGTCCATTTAAAGCTACTGGCTCTTTTAGAAGGTCTCTTTTTGGACTATTTTCTCCTACTCTCGTCCTCTCAACGGAAAGGAACTTCCCCCCACCCGCCTTTGTGACGTCGTGAGGGGTAATCCTGATTATTATAAATAGGTATACTCTGTATATATCAGAATATCAAAATCTAATTGGACTTACATCTGGAGAACCCCACAATTAATTTATTCACAACACAAACCACCCCCCCAGGAAAAAAAAAAAAAAAAAAAAAAAAAAACAAAAAAAAAAAAAAAAAAAAAAAAAAAAAAAGAAGAGAAAGAAGACAAAAGAAAAAAAGAAAAGGGACTGTTGATACTCCCCGAACGCCGCCTACTGCTCGAGGTCCTGGCCTACTGTGTATCCATATTTCCACTTAGGAAACTTATCTACATGTTTTCATCCTAAATATATTTACCACTGGGTAAGCTATATACCTAGATAACCCTCAACATGCCCACCGAACTAGAGGAGGTTCGTTTCCCTGCACCCTGCAGCAAGGCCTAGGCTCAGTTTGCCTGACGAATATCCCATTGTACTTTAGCTTGTTGAATTCCTTCATCATGGAAACACTCAAATCAGACAAATTGGTAATGAGGACCCTTTATAAAACCGATGAACAGCCTGGAGAATCTTCCGTGACCATTTGTGAATGCTCTATAATAACTTATTCTAGCCTGTGAAAACCTCCTTGGTTTCTCAACTGCCCAGCCGAACATATTCAAATGCCATCAGCTTCTTCCAGTGCGAGATTTGAAACTTTTGGTGCGAGATTACACTGTTAGTGCCCACCCGGTCGAATCCTGGCCAGGTCGCTTACTGAATAGCCAATCGCGAAAAATGCCCTGACAATGCTCATCAACCTCTCGGCTGACCAAGACGTATTGGCCAATCTTGCGGACGATGATGACTTTCTTGAGACTCTCCTCACAAAGGTGACGGTGAGTGCTCCGTACTCGACGCGGGACGACACACGTCTTAACTAATGCGGCACTAGAACGTCAAGGAGCCGAATGCAGATGATGTGTCGATGCTTTTGGCCAACTTGGTCAAGTCGGAGAAAATGAAGAAACTGCTAACCATAAAACGACGGGTCCCAGAACTGGTGTCTACTTCGCCCAATGCAATGGATCAGCTGATGGATTGTTTCGTGAAAGGGGCCGAGGGCGCCCTCAACAAAAATGCCACCTATGACTACCTGTCTTATGTATTTGCTGACATGTCGAAGTCTAAGGAAGGTCGGGCGTATTTTACCTCGCGCCAGGAGTATGACGGCGTGGTGCCTGTAACGAAGCTTACTGTTTTCACCGAACACCAAAGCTCAATTCGGAGAAAAGGAGTTGCATCAACAATCAAGAATGTCGCGTTTGACATCCCATTCCACCCCGCTCTTTTCTCTGAAGATGAAGCCAATATCCTTCCATACATCCTGCTGCCGATAGCAGGCCCGGAAGAGTTTGGCGAAGAAGAGACGCTGACGATGCTGCCAGACCTTCAGCTGCTACCCCCAGACAAAAAGAGGGACACCGACAATAGCATTATTGTAACACATCTTGAAACGTTACTGTTGCTAACAACAACTCGGGAAGGGCGAGATAGAATGAGGGAGGTACAGGTCTATCCTATAATTCGAGAATGTCACCTGAACGTTGATGACGAGGATGTTCGAGAAGCTTGCGACAGGCTGGTTCAGATCTTGATGCGGGACGAGGAGGGAGAAAATGCTGGACAGCCTGGAGGTACGCAGCGGGAACATGATGACCAGCAGGTGGTAGAGCTCTTTTGAGCCGGTGTATAGTGGGAGTTCCTTTACTTCTTTCTTTTACTAAATATGAACTCTTTGTTATGGATTCAGTGGCAGAGTGAAAAGCTTTTATTTGGATACCAGCAGTGCATGCCACCATAACGACATTGAACCCCTGATTAGAATAATAAACGGGGACTAATTAATGACAAAGCTAAAGTAGGTTTTCAACAGAGGCTCTTTTCATTGAAAGGAAGCGTAGCAAGCAAGCCAACATTGGTCGTATCTGTTTCGCATTGATTCATTTGCCTCTGAGCAGCCGAATCCCTTCTATGGACTGCATATGGACTATGGAATTGCATTGAATCAAGAGTCACTCCGTAAGAAGTGCCTGGGTCTTGGCCGTCTGGAATATGCAACATTCGTCGCATCTTGTTTGCAGCGAGAGTAGCTTGTCGATGAAAATTCTCGCGCTGTGTCCGCTGCTTCTGGGCAGCAGCCGAGGGCCATATAAGTCTGTTATAGGTACCAATTTCACTTGAGAAATCAATACCGCGAGTACTGGACACTTGGTCGAACCCTGCGAATTTGGGCGTTCCACAGGGTTGTGGTCGGTTTAAGTTATCTTCCGCTTCAGCAAGCAGGTCCTGACCTATGTGGCCATTGTCCGTTCGCCATTCCCATCCGACTCCTGGGATTTCCTGAACTCGACGTATGATGATCTGAGCGCGGGAGAACTCTGCTCTGATAGATTCCAGGCCTTTGTCTGTGACAGTTCTGCCTATATTATGGTTGTGTTCGAAGGGGTCCTCAATTGCTATGAGGAATCTGAGTCGATGTCCGTGTTCGTCAGTCCTCGCGGTGTTCCAAAATTTATCCATTTTGGAAAGGATGCCACCCTGCGTGCGAATTGAAATAACGTCCTGGATCCAGTTGAAAGCGCCTGAGGGCGTAGTTTTGCACCGGCTTCCATAGTATGCGAAAAAGCCACGAAGCAGCTCGCCCACGGATTGCCGATTACCATAAGTCATATTATACCAGGCTCTCCTCCTAAGTTCGGTCTCATTTTTGAAAAAACGGATATCGTACTTACTAGGATTTGTAATGCTGGAGTGTCTAGGGGACAGCCGACCCAGAAGCTGAAGATTAGGAACCAAAGGCGGGTCTACCACGTTCATCAAGTAGTGGATGACCATGAGAATGTAGCCATATGAAGAGAGTGTTCCATAGTTGGGACGATTGATTTTTCGAGCCTTGGCCCACATCTTCACGAAAAGACCGATAACACGCACCCTTTCGTCGCATAGGGCGTAACAGCGAAGTAATTCGGTATTGTATAGTACCAAGCGCCCAGAAAAATTGAGGTCACATTGAATGTCTACTGAAGATAGAGCCTCCAGATTTGTAGCCTGCTTTGGAGAACGGTAACTATTCTGTCCTCTGCTTTCAACCTCGAGCGAGTTTAAGACTCCTTGGGAAGGAGGTTCGTGCACTTTGACGATTGAAATCCTGGTCTTTTGAATTAATTGAGTATCGAAGCCGGCATCAAGAAATGCTTTAAACAAAATCTGGGGACACCTTGCTTCTATATCCTTTGGAAACACTTCTCCATGCGCGGTTATTACGAGATCAAGGTCAGCCCCAGGCAATGCGAAACCATTCCGCAGACTGCCAAAGCATTTGAGGTCAATGGTTTTATCTCTAGTCGTATAGCCATGCTGCTTGGAATGTCTTTCAAGCGCTTCCCGGGCGATGTTGGTTAGTAAAGCCCGCAGGGCTTCCTTGCTGCGAAAATCGCTAGCTAGTGAGCCGAAAGAGGGCACTCGGGCTGCTAGGGAGTTTAAATAGTTTATCTGAAGTTGAGCTCGCCTGCAAGGATCAGACTGTTGATCACCGAGCCGGGTTCTGGGAGCATGTGAATAGGAATAGCCAGCTGGATTACTGAGGTGCGTAATCTCTAAGACTGATTGGCAGTGTACAGGATATGTGGCCGTTTTGTCATTCATCGTGCGCTCTTCAATATGGCTCTTTGAAAAGAACCTTTTTTGACGATGAGTCGAATTAGTAGTGCTGATCTGGATATCACAGTGATTCGCATAGTGGCAAGAGATTACTGGCGGTTGTTGGAATAACAGCTGCCCACTGGCATGACTTAATATATCAATGACATGACAAGGCAGGTCGTCCATTCCTGAGGACATCGGAGTAGCGGTAATAGACCCACGTGCAAGGCCGCATCTCTTACCAGTCATAACGACTTCAGCAGATGAATTAGAATGTTGAGGGACCTTACAGGGCATGATTGACTGTTTTTAGTCGAAGTACAAGAGACTAGATAGTAGGAAATGGCGAGAAGGGACTATAAGATGGGATTTTTGATCGAGTGAACGATGTGACTGCCAATACTGACAGTTTTCTAGCATTGGGGAGAAAGTCAATCAATAGAAGTGGGATATAAATGGGAACATAGGTGTTCAAAGTGTAGATACCGAGAGAAGAAAGATAACGCGTTGGCGGGAAGGAGCATGATGTGAAAGGGAAAGAGGTTCGTTTCCAAGTCTCTTCTTTAACTTCTTTCCTTGTTGCTGTTTTCGAGACAACCCGTAAACTGACCCTCAGCCTAAGCAGAAGTGATACCACAGTGAGAGGTCAGGGGAATGACGGGTGGCGGAAGTTGGGCGGAGTGAGATATACCAGGCATAGTTAGTACGTCCCGTCTTACGACTAAATACTTATTCCGTACTCCGTACTGCAGGTGATACTGTAAATCTCACAAACCCGACTAATGTACGGAGTAAGTGCTCCGTAACTGCGCTTACCTAAGTGATCAGTCTAACTACCTAGCTAGTTATTTCAGTTGAGGCAGTCCACTCCACTCCACTGCTACTCCATCTTCCTTCGACAGCACTTTAGTACCCAAGACAATCCTGTCTTTGGTCAAATACAAAGAAGATCTCTTTCTTGATATATATGCATCGTGCAAGCGGGACTTCTACGATCTAGGTATATGTATCACCGAAGGAGCTTCGCGTGTCTGAAAGCATACCGGGAACATGGCTACACCAACGAACGACCTGAACGCGCGGACTCCAACAGGTTCAAATGGACCTCCACCCATGAGAATTCGTCGCCCAAAGGCAGCGGATCCTTTAGTACGACCGAAAAAAAAACCTACAGCCAAACCAGCTATTCCTACCTCCGGAAATGGACCAGCCTTAAAAGCGGCTTCTTCGCGACCAGCTACTTCCAACCCGCCATCTATGCCTCATTCTGAGAGAGGGAAGCCTTCATCTTCAGGAGCTGATTTCTCCGCCAATGGATTTAGCGGCCCATTGTTATCCGAAACATATACGGACTATCCCCTAGTCACGACAAAGCGCGCATTGCGGGAAGGCTTGAAACATCACATTGCTAGATTTGCATCAAAAAAGACCGTCGATCCGCGTGACGAAAACCAGTTCACTAGGCCTGTCAGGCTTCAACGTCGCGACCCGCGCGCTCGATCGCATGAGATGACATCGGAGAAGAGCCAGGGCATGCAGAAGACAACGTCTGAATCTAGCCATCAGATAGATGAGGCTGAGCGTGAAGAGCTAGAGGCTAGGAAGGCTGCCCGTGAGAAGGAACGCGCGGAGAATCTGGCCCAAATAGCCCCTTCCGCTGGATCCGCCCCGAAGAGAGCGAACGTACCCAAGCAAAAAACTCAGCAGGTGTCCAAGACAGATATGACTCCTGAGGAGATGGCGAAGACGCGAATCAAGTACGAAGAGGCTTTGCCATGGCATCTAGAAGACTTTGACAACAAAAATATTTGGGTGGGGAACTATGAAGCTGCTCTGTCCGAAACACATGCGGTATTTGTACTTGAGGCTACCGGGAAAATGAGGATGATTCCCGTGGAAAAATGGTACAGATTCAATGCCAAAAACCAATTCAAAGCTTTGACTATCGAGGAAGCAGAGAAGTTCATGGCAAAGAAAGTTAAAGATCCACGGTGGTTCATGGAGAAGCAACAAGAACTAGCTCAACGAAAGGAATTAGAGCAATTTGCGAAACAGCGGAAGGTATACGCTGGTAAACAAGGGACCCCATCTGGAGTGGAGGGATTGGAGGCCGGTGAAATGGACTTTGAAGAAGATCGATTTGCTGATGATGAAGAGCATGATGATCTTTTCAACGAGGATGAGGATGCAAAGGCAGCGGAGAAGAGAATCAAGCAAGACCAGTTGAAAGCCAATGTTTTTGACCTGAAAGACGAGAAAGACTACGAGCAAGAGGAATTGAGAGAAAAGAAAGAGAAGGAGGCTCGTCGTGTGCTTGGGAAAAAAGTTCGGAAAGCTTTACAAAAACGAGAAAAGAACTACGACTATAGTAGTGGTTCTGACGTCAATCCTTATTCAGATGATGAGGTGAGAACAGCATCCACTCCTACACACTTGTGTCGTTACTAACACTTTTGTTTTCTTTCAATTTAGAGCTCTGATGATAGCGAGGCTGAACGATTGAAGGAGGAAGAGCGGAAAGCCGAAGAGGAAAAGAACAAAAAGGACATAACGACATCTTCCAAGGGTAACAATACGCCGTCCGGCCGCCCTAAGCATACGGATCCCTTGAAAAAAGGCACGGCAGCTGCACCACGGAAGCGGTTGGGGTCTCCCAACGTGTCGGATGCGAGTGGGACAGACACTTCCCGCAAAAAGGGTAAAAGCAAGAACCCGTCCTCTCAGCCCACTCAGCCAAGCTCGCGCAATATGTCTCCCGTTGCGTCATCGCAAATGCCAGTAAGTTCCCTATCAGTAGCCCCAGGTCTACTCGTGAGTTAACGCCTTTGCAGCTTGGCAAGAAGCGTGTCCGAAACGTACCTCTTGGTGGTGCAGGTTCCGGGAGTGATGCCGATGGCGGCGCAGGTTCAGGTGCAGAGATGAGTGAAAGTGGTAAAACTAAAAAGCTCAAGCTTAATCCTCCAGCAGTTTCTCAGGGTGGGACTCCCCAGGGATCTAGGGCAGGGAGTCCCACTCCCCTGGCAGGTAGAAGTTTTTCGGGAAGCCGTGCTAGCAGCCCCGAGTCATTCAGAGGTAAGTCTAATTCATCATATTGGGGAACTTTCCTCAGGTTATGTAGCATTGTTCTGATTGGGCCATATGTAAAGGGCAAACTCGCGTTTCCACTCCAGTACACGCTGGAAATCAAAGCTTCCCTACGCCTGCGGAGATTCATGCTGCTATTCCCCCCTCGGGCATACTCAGTAGTGACTTGCTCAAAATATTCCGTCCCCGTATTGGTGAGTCAAAGGAGAACCACCGAAGGTTTATAGCGATTGTCAAAGATGTCGGAGTTTATGGCAAAGAAGATCGATTGTTGCGACCTGGTACGCTGAAGGAGAGTTGATTGGGAAGATCCTGTCACGTGCGTTGAGTGTGAAACCATTCAATCAGCGTAAGTACAGTATTAGGTTTTAGTCAGTATATGCTCATGATAATTGAATATCTATTGAGGTCATGCTAAAGTAGTTATCTATATGAAATGGGGATTGAGGTATAAATAGCACTTGATAAAAACTGTAGAATTGGGATAGACGTTTTGAACACCCAGCGCTAAGCCGAAACATCTTTGGTCGAAAATAGAGATGAGACAAAGGCATTATAAAGTAACAATCGTGCAAGGAGTGTCCTTTCTATGGCTATTCTTTTAAGCGGATTTTGTACCAACACCGTGTGAGACGTTCTCACTTCTCTTCCTCGTATTTCTCCCAGTTTGCCAAAATGTTAGCAATACGCGGTGAATTCGTGAGCCTGTAGACATCTTCGAAATATTCCTTGGTAAGTTCGAAAGGGCGAGCCGTGACATTTGGAATATATTTTCCAACCAACTTGCTGGGGTCAATAGTGTTCTTATTGATCTTCTTTAGCAAAAACGATCGGAAAGGCTTGACACCAGAACGGAGGAAAGTGCTGTGGAAGGGAACGTCAATTCCCCTCAGAGGGATGGTAGCGAAGCCACGCTCAAGGGTAATGGGCTTAGGCTTAGACTCGGTCTGCTTGACACATTCATGGATGATCTTAACCAGGTGAGCCTTGACATCTTCTAAAGACATGCTCTGCATGAGGGCCGGAATGTCAATGTTCTGAGCCTTCAGGTAATTGAGTAGATTTGTAAGACAGTCAAGTGCTCGGAGCTATGAAGGAGAAAGCTTAGTTAGAGAAACTGTTCATAATCGAAAGGGGAAATGGTAGACTCACATCTCCAGCTGCAACATATTGCATGTTTGCGACATTGTAGTTCACGATCTCAAGTAGCCAGCCAGTTTGCTCCGAGATGTTCTCTACCACATACTGCAGAGCCTGTTCATTGAAGGTCTTCGAAATTCGACTTGGATTGACAGCGCACATAGAGTAGTTAGAGCGGCCTTGTTCATCGCGTTCAACAGCAACTTGCATGGTCAACCCGCGATAGAATACCACAGAAACCAAGCTTTCAATAGGCATAACATCGGCAAGAGCTGCAAGAGCTGAATATTCACCAAGTGAGTGACCAGCGAAGCTGCTATCTCTTTGGACCAGTCCCTTGGAACGCATATCTTCAAAGCTAGCCTTCTCCATCAATGTCAAAGCTGGCTGTGTAAATTGTGTCGCAGAGAGCAATCCGGACGGTGATCGATAGGTGTAAGACGTTGTATTTTCGTCGATTTCCTTGAAGATTTTCTCCGACTTGATGCTTCCATCCGCATTAACAGACTCGAAGGTCATCGACATGTAGTTTTGACGAATAGCTTTGCCGCGGGGGCCACCAAAATAGACGGTAAGTTCCTTGGGGTTGTTTTTCACAATATCAATGATGGAAAGACCATAGTTCTCCATGAAGTGACGGTCTGCCCGATCCCAAACTTCTCTAGCAACAGGGCTGCTGCTATATAGCTCCATTCCCATTCCTTGTTCTTGGGAGCCCTGTCCAGTGAATACGTAGGAGGTAACCGGTTGTTCCACCTCTGCTTCACCAAGAAGAACTTTATCCTCTGTCTCCTTGTTGCTGGCTTCAACCTTGATGATCTTACGGCCAGCGATCATACCAACGTGCTGCAACTTGACGGTGATCATGTCGTTGGGCAAAACCATCCCAACCAGGGATACATGGAAACCCCTGACACGGCCAATGTTATTCTCAGCAGCCCAGGTTTCCACATAGCTGCGAACAGCGGCACTCGTATACATGCCATGGGTGATAGTACCTGGTAAGTTGGCGTAGCTGGAGAAAACTCGTGAGACGTGGATCGGGTTGTAATCGCCCGAGACGCGAGCATAGGTCTCGTTAGAAGTTGGAGCACGCAGCTCCAAAGGTGTCTTTCCGCTGAGAGGGATGGGGTTTTCGAAGTACACGGGCTGCTCGATAGATGTTCCGTTTCGCTGAAGGTAGTCCACCACTGGATTTCCGTGAGAATCTCCGGCTTCGTAGTCCACAGTCGCAACTTGAATAATCTCCTTGGTAGGGAGTTCTAGAAGTACCTGACCGACTGTTTGAACATGGCTGAACACGGATTTATTCTTGAATCGAATTAGACTTTGAAGGCGGAAGGTCAGGGTTTGACCCAATAACTCAACATCAGAATCATCAATACGGAACCACTCCTTCGACCGAAGGATTGCAACATCCCTGCTCGACGCAAGATGAACCTGCATCGGAACCTCGTCTTTACGCTGGAAGGTATTCTCGAAGTCCAAGTATGCTCCCCGATATAAGAACTGACTGGTGACATGCATTATAGGCTTGCCAGCTCTCTTGATAGTACCGCAGACCTCAACCATTTTACCGGAATCTTGATTGATAACAGCGTTAATCTGGGCGGTAGTATCTAGAACATCACCAACCTGAAGAGGCTGGGCCCCGGGGACCATCTTGAAGCCATTAGAAAGGTGGACCAATTTCAGCAAATCACCGTCAATAGTACGAGGGAAGATGGGCTTGGTAATGGCTTTCCAGCCAGCGACGATGGCGAAGTCCATGGGAGCAAAGACTTCCTTTCCTGGGCGATCGACGAATGCTTCACCGGTGTTGCCGACAGCATGGACGAAATCAGCGACAGCTTGTGACGTAATAGTCTCGCGACCACCATTGAAAGTTGCTGTCGTGGGGGTATCAAATGGAACATCGCTGTTGCCAAACCAGATGCGGTAGTAAAACTCCTTGATACGATCATTGCGTCCTTCCATGACCTCTCTGATGGGCGCATATCCTGATTCAGGATGATAAGTGAACAAGAATGTCAGCGGAACAACGCCACCTTCTGCAGTTCTGCCCTCGAAAAGAGTAAGGCTAATCTGGTTATTCTCATTCATTTTCACCTCTACTGTCTTAACAAGCTTGCCTGACTGATAAGGCTCCCTCACACTAATGGCGGTTTTGGAAGGATCATTTGGGTAGGCCATCTCGACATACATGCCCGAAGTCGGTGCAACGACTCGCTTCAATGGGTTAGTTTGGAAACGATGGCCCTGAACGAAGATATCGGCAAGGAAGATCGCATGTCTCCAAGAATAGGAGGTACCTGCAAGGAGACGTAGCCAGCGATCAAGCTCAGGCAGATCGAAGGAAGGGGATGACGACAGTCGGTAGCTAATCTTGTTGGCGTCTTCCGAGATGGTAAGGCCGTCAATCTCCGGCTCATCAATGGTCTCATCGAGCCGACCTCCAAGATATTCAATGACGGGGACCTTTGTCTCATCGCCATTGTATACATCCTCAAGAAGGCTCTTGATATGTCCCTGGTGGATTCCATTCAAGATATCTTGGACAGGCTGATCGGTGATAGTCGAGAATCTAGCAGCCATTGGCCCTTGCAGAATGCATGTTCTTCCAACGTCTTGATCTACAACTGCCTCCAAATCTTCACTTTGCCAGAGAGAATCTTTCTTGAACCAATACTCAAAGTTTTCATCCAAAGCAGGAACAAAGGGAACTGGTTTTTGGCCACGCCGTTGACAAAGTAGAAGGAAATGCTGGGCGTCTTGAGCATTGATCAATTGAGTTGCCGCTTCAGGATATGCGACCAAAATATTATCCACAGCAGGGTAGGGACTGTTGAGCTCTGAATAACTTTGTAGCAAAGACGGCTGGCCCTCAGCCGCAGTGAAACGTTCTTCGACACGGCGAATGAAATCACCAGTCAGTTTCTTAAGAGAGTCATCGATCCACCGAGATTCATGTTTGACGTACATTAGGTCCACCATACGATGAACCACCTCGGCGTACGTCATGTCTTCGAGGTCAGCCGTTTCGCCGGAAGCTTTGCGGCCGAACCAAACCTTCTGGAAATCATCGTTGAGCTTCTTAATTATATAATTGCGTTGCTTTTTGAGTTCGGGAACGCGTTTTGCCTTGTCGAGTTTGAAAATCTTTTGGTCCATTTCATGCCAGAACAAAACGCCTCTTGTTGCAAGTTTATGGATCGGCTCGCCCATTTCGGAGAGGACCGTCACTACACCACCTGCAGAGCCTTTGTATGTCTTCTCCCAGTCTTGGTCATCAAGACCAGGGGCATCCGCAATAGCCTTCTTCGCGTTCTTCGATGTGTGTGCTTCCTTGGCGATCATTATGCGACTACCGAACAAGCAACCGTCAAAAGGCATCGGGGGGTAGCCAAAACGAGATGACCAGGTTCCCGAGAGGTAGGGATAAGTATCCTCAGACCCTCCAAAGCCACTGCCTGCCACAAGGACGATGTTTTCACAACGTCTGATACGGCTATACATCTGCAGCACGGGCTGATGGAAATCCTCGAAGGAGTGATGTCCACCACCACGGCCTCCAGTCCACTGAAGAATGACGGGGAACTTAGGGTTTGCCTTGGCAATGTTGATAACCTGTTGAATAGCGTCCACGGAACCTGGCTTGAAGGCAATGTGCTTAATGCCGAGAGTTTCAATGTACTCATTGGCTACTTCGATTGAGGGAACGCCGGCACCGATTGTCAAACCTTCCACAGGAACACCGTCGGCCCTCAGTTTTCCGATCAGGGGTATTTGCCATGCCATAGCGCGGGGATTGACATAAATCAAATTAATGGTGATACCGCGGCCTGGAGGAATAGTTTTTTCGATCTTGGAAACCGCTTCGGTCATAGTCTTAGCATTGTAGTAACCACCACCAGCGAGTTCAATGTGGTAACCCGCATTCATCGTTGCGGCCACGAAATCCCAAGGAACAGTGGTGGGAGTCATGCCAGCAACCATTATGGGAGGGATGCCTAACAATCGGCTCATCTTAGTATCAACAAAGGTCTGGCCCGCTGCATTCTTCACAAGACGCGGCCCATACTCCTTGACCCAGTCGATGGCGTACTTCACAGCATGCTCATCACGGTCAAACAGTTCTGGCTTATAACCAATCTCAGCGTTGGTGCCGTCCATGGCACCGGCAAGCACCACACGAACGCCTGTACCGTCCTTGTTGCGGTTCGTAAGCACGCCGAGACCAGAGATACCGCCGGGACCGAAGTCAACAATGTGGGTAGCCTTGGGGAAAACGGTTGCCTGCTCCCAGTTTACCGCGTCGTGGGTAATCATGCGCACCAGCGCAGGAACAATGTTTGCATCACCAGATTCACGCAGGTCTTCTCCGGTTTTAGTGCCATAAACAGGGATAGCAAGAGACTTGGCCGGAATTTCCAGGTCTTCCAGGTCTTCCAAGATGCGGTCATACGCGGAATACAAGTACTGGCTGTGGAAAGGAGCAGTAATTGGAAGGAACCGGTTCACGAAGCGAACCTTACGTTGTGTGAATGGCACACGATTCTGGTCCAAGCCTGTAGGAGCTTTGACTTTGCGCAGGCGCAGATTAAGACCGTAAAGCGAAAGCGGAGGACCAGTGACAACGAAATTCCGTGCGCTGTTAACGAGAGAGATAGAGATGTGGCGATCCTCTGGAAGATGTTGGTTGGTCATGTCTATGTGCTCCTGAACAGCAGATCTTGGGAGGTCCCGGATAGACAGCATAGGGGTCGGGGTTCCTTCTCCATTTTCGATCGAGTCCTGCAACACCGATGGAGCAATAGATGTGCGAGGGTAGGCCTGTTGGCTACGAAGACCAATCCAGAAGAGCATAGTCAGAGCATCCTTGGCAACTTTCTCAAAGCTCTCCCACGTTGTTGCGGAGGCAATGGCTGCAGCGGTGACCACCCCTTGAGAGTGGCCCGTAGTTCCACTAAACCTTTCCAAGATTTCACTAGGCTCACGGCCCAAGGCTTTGCAAGTTACCACGAAGTGTGCTAGCTGAACTAGACCAATCAACGGGAGACTCACTGGAGCCGACACAAGATAATCTGTGTCGGGCTGTGAGTCCGGATCCTGGAGCCATTGGATGATATCCATGCCTTTAGGATACAATTTGCTCGCCTCCGGCTCCCGAGAGAGAGACAACAGCAACTGCGCTGACGAGGAGATCAACTCATCGACGAAAGATGGATAGGTTGTATAAATCTCTCTCAGCTCATCGAAGTATTCCTCAATGTTGCCTTGTCCACCAAAAACGGTATAAACGTTCGCCTTCTCATCTGAGGCAGCACGGAAGAGCGCAGAATCATATGGCTTGGTGGGTCGTCCAGCAGCCGCCCTGCCAGCGTAGTACGCCTTGACAACCGAAGCCTTTTTCGCGGTTATCCCTGGAAGGGCCGATGCAACCGCATGGACATCATTGCCGCGCATGAAGGCACGCTCAAATTCATTCAAGGCGAGCTTCAAGACCTCCAAATTCGTCCCATGTGCGTCATCCTCGCCTTCTTCTACCTCTGTGGCAATATGGCCAATATAGCGAGCCACAAGCTCCGCTACGGAAGAAGGCTCGTCATCCTGGGCAAGCTCGTCCGTTGGTTCCGGTAACGAGGCTGTGAAGGTGTCTTTCAATTGAGAAGCTTGAAAATGAATGGAGGTTGGCACGAGGAAAGAAAACTCCAGCGAACCATGCGACAGTATGAGAGGTCGCAAGGACTGGGAGGAGCGCGGGGTATTAATGCCCGTCTGAGGGCCTGTAGATGTTCCATACATCTCGTGATTTTGTATCTAGGTATACGTCTTTCGCAGTAAAGGTCAAGCGCCAGACGGAGATGCTGAATGAAATCTGGGAAATTCTATGGCATGTAAGTATGCTGAGCAAACCAGCACTCAAGATATCAAACTGGTTACAGGTGTAATATTTGCAAAACTAAAGAAACATTTGAGCCCTCATTTTTTCAAGGGGGGGGGGGGGGGGGGGGGGGGTTGGTCTTCTTTTGTTGCATTGGTGAAAGGAGACGAGTAATTGCACCCCAGAAACAAGGAAAAGTGAATTTGCTTACCTAGTCTTCAAAGTGGTTCTCAATTAAGCCTGGGTCAAAGTCATCAGCTGGTCCATCACCCAGCTATTAAAAAATCAGAAGGTGAAGAAGAATTAAAAGGGAAAAATGAAAATGAGCCCAGGTGTGGGAATGGATAGCAGACGAAGGAAGGAAGGAAAAGGAAAAGGCAAAGAATTGGAATCTGATTACAACATAAAAATATGGTGTAGAGAATAATAAAAAGTCAAGAAAGGTAAGTGGGAGGAGGAGCGGGAGACCTTGGGAGGGTTCTGGAGAAACTATGTTCACAGAAGAAATGAATAACGGATGGCGATAATACTAATAATGATAATAGGTAGAAGGTTAATAATGCTGGGGGTTAAAAAAAAACATAAAAAAGAAAATTCAAAAAAGAAAGAGAGGTAAGTACAAATGATAGTTAAACCAAAAACGGTGCTCATCACCACACATCAAATCAAATTCAAAGTAGTCGTCGGGCTCCCCCAAAGACAGAGAGAAATACCGATACAGACGCGCGCACACATATTGTGTTGAACCGGCCGGGCGGAGGTAAAAACCCGCAGCTTTGGGGCTGGTTGAATGAGAACCGTCCAGATCAGGTATGGCGGGCAGGGGAACCTCCCCAAAGGTCCAAAACGGTTGGGCTGGATCTAGTGGGACGTGACAATACTGTACCTAATACCATAGAGTTGATCGTCACACCGAGGGATGGGGATTCGTTCCATGGACTTGGCCTTACGGAGCACTATTTACTACTTTGCCAGACCAGCTTAGGATTACGAGCTTTGTGAGGTACTTACCGGCAAGCCGATGAGCAAAACTCACGAGATCAACCCGTCTTTCCCAATAAACATGATAAGAGACATTGACAGTTTTGTACCACTAGTCACCAACAAAGTATTCACACGATGTACATCTTTATAGAGCCAGACTTGATACCCCCTTCACCTCTATATGACTTAATTGATCAACTTGATAGTATCCGGTGCTTGCCGTGTGAACTTTGCCCCTCTATCTATCGATATATTGACCCCGCTCTCTTGAATACTAAGTAAGCATCCTTTATTAGAACAAACGGTTGCCCTCCCTTCTACATGACCCTGATAAAGGTTCGTCGTACTTTAGTAACTTGGAAAGATACTTTGATTACCTGAATATCTCCCCCCACCGACAAAAAAAAAATACAATAAAAGATTACAAGTCTTAACTGTCAAGATTTTGAAGGAAGGGGGAAGGGGTTTATACCCATTTGCTCCTCCTTCAGATAGGTTTGGGTCATTTCTACTCAAGCGGACCAGTACTTGGTATACGAAAAATTATGCACTTATCTTCTCCGTTAGTGCCGTTGCTCTTTTCATTTTTCCAAACTCTCTTGCCCTGTCCTTTTCCACTATAAGCCCATGGGGTGGTCCCCTCTCGAGTGATGGGAGTTTAAGGTATCAACCACTTAGTACTACTATGTACTAGATAGAATCAGTGAGAAAGCCTAGCCTACCCAACTACCTATGTATGTAGTACTTGTAGTCCAGGTATTGGTACCACCTCATCAACGCCCCCGGCCAGTAGTAGCTGCAGGTATCCACCAGCTAAATGAGTACCCAATGACAATCTTGAATGTGTATTTCCAGGTATGAAAATTACCACGAGTCCCATCACCTCAACTGTGGCCCCGTCTTGACAAGGACCTTATCATGGAATTGCTTTATAATTAATCGATTAATTTTTTTTTTGGTTCTTTTTGGGACAACAGACTCCATCCACTGTATTGGGCGCATACAACCTTAGTAGTTGTTACAGGTGACGAATACTGCTGGCTGGCTTGAGTACTAGTAGTCTTCCGCCCCAACAACACTCACCAAAAGCTCACCAGCAATAATTTCGTTCCCATCCATCCACAATCTCACCTTCTCTCACCTCAGTTTCCTTTATTATTCTTTTCCCTTTCTTTGGTTTATTCTGTTTCTACCACATTGGCAAATTCTCCCCACTGCCTGTGGTCCCAACTGGGGTGAGTTTCTCTGATACCGCACGGTGTTTTAATTTTTTTTTTTTTTTACACATTTTATTCTATTTTTCATTGTTTTTCCTTTTCCTTTTTTTTTTCCCCGCTTGATTGCTGTTTTCCAGAGGCCGTTTACATGAGTAGTATGTACCGTGTCTAGCACTATCTCTACTAAGTGCTTTTGTTCTTTTGTTCCTTCTTTCTGACTTAAAGTGGTTATGCCCTTGGCAAGAGAAGGCACTGGAAACCATAACTTTTTAATAAACCTTTAGATCAACTCACGCTGACAATTTCCCTATAATTAGGCTTAAACTTATTATTATCTCTTTAATTACTTTTTTCTCGCCCTATATCTTGGTCTCAAGTCAGTTTCATTTGGACAGCTGCTACAAGTCTAGCCTAACTGTTGACGAATTGACGATTGAGGAACTGGTCAACGTGCAGATTCATATCAGAGCTTGATCTTCCATTATCACCCTCCTTCCCGCTGTTAATATATTATCCCCTCCTCAAGATGCGTCCTGAAATCGAACAGGAGCTCGCCCACACCTTGCTGGTAGAACTACTGGCGTACCAGTTTGCATCTCCAGTGAGATGGATTGAGACGCAAGATGTTATCCTGGCGGAGAAACGAACGGAAAGGATTGTTGAGATAGGTCCCGCAGACACTCTAGGGGGAATGGCGCGACGAACGCTCGCATCAAAGTATGAGGCATATGACGCTGCCACATCCGTCCAACGCCAAATACTCTGCTATAACAAGGATGCAAAGGAGATTTACTATGATGTAGATCCTGTGGAAGAAGAGCCCGAGGCCCCCCCCGCAAGCCACACACCTGCCCCAGCTGCTCCTGTCACAGCGACTGCGGCTCCTGCCGCATCAGCCCCTCCTCCCAGCGCTGGTCCCGCCGCAGCAGTTGAGGATGCTCCAGTAACAGCAGTGGATGTGCTCAGGACACTCGTCGCACAGAAGCTGAAGAAGGGTCTGTCTGATGTGCCTCTAAGCAAAGCCATCAAGGACTTGGTTGGTGGTACGTATTTGGGAATCCGTCCCGAGCTCTATGATATCTTGAGCTGACGTTACCTATTCTCTAGGTAAATCTACCTTGCAAAATGAAATTCTCGGAGATTTGGGCAAGGAATTCGGTTCCACACCAGAGAAGCCAGAGGACACCCCTCTTGATGAGCTGGGTGCTTCCATGCAGGCGACATTCAATGGGCAACTGGGCAAGCAATCCTCCTCTCTCATTGCTCGCTTAGTCTCATCCAAGATGCCCGGAGGTTTCAACATTACAGCCGTTCGAAAGTACCTCGAAACACGATGGGGCCTGGGGTCCGGCAGGCAAGACGGTGTTCTCCTTCTCGCCCTTACAATGGAACCCGCATCTCGTATTGGATCGGAGGCGGACGCTAAGGCATACCTCGATGATGTGACCAACAAATACGCCGCCAGCGCAGGAATCAGCCTCTCTGCTCCAGTGGCTGGTGGCGACAGTGGTGCGGGAGCCGGAGGCATGCTGATGGACCCAGCAGCAATCGATGCTCTGACCAAGGATCAGCGGGCCTTATTCAAGCAGCAACTTGAGATCATCGCGCGGTACCTGAAGATGGACTTGCGCGCAGGCCAAAAAGCTTTCATCACCTCTCAGGAGACCCAGAGGGCTCTGCAGGCCCAGATAGATCTTTGGCAAGCGGAGCACGGTGATTTCTACGCCTCCGGCATTGAGCCCTCCTTTGATCCTCTTAAGGCCCGTGTGTATGACTCGTCCTGGAATTGGGCCCGTCAGGATGCTTTGAGCATGTACTATGATATCATCTTTGGCAGACTGAGGGTCATCGATCGTGAAATCGTGAGCCAGTGTATCCGCATCATGAATCGGTCGAACCCGCTTCTTCTTGATTTCATGCAATATCACATTGACAATTGTCCTACTGATCGCGGCGAGACGTATCAGTTGGCGAAGGAGCTTGGTGAGCAGCTCATTGAGAACTGCAAGGAAGTTCTAGGGGTTGCCCCCGTGTACAAGGATGTCGCGATCCCCACTGGTCCCCAGACAACTGTTGACGCCCGAGGAAATATTGGTTATAAGGAGGTTCCCCGAGCCAGCGCCCGCAAGCTGGAGCATTACGTGAAACAAATGGCGGAAGGCGGTCCCATTTCCGAGTACAGCAACCGGGCGAAGGTGCAAAATGATCTTCGCAGTGTCTACAAACTCATCCGCAGGCAACATCGTCTGTCTAAATCTTCCCAGTTACAGTTCAATGCGCTTTATAAAGAAGTCATTCGTGCCCTTAGCATGAACGAGAACCAAATTATGCCTCAAGAGAACGGCAATGGGAAAAGATCGAGCCGGTCTGGTCAAAAGTACAACGGCAGCCCTCGAGCTGGCAAGGTCGAGACCATTCCCTTTCTACATCTCAAGAAGAAGACCGAGCATGGGTGGGAGTACAATAAGAAGCTCACTGGTACCTATCTTGATGTGATGGAGTCAGCCGCGCGGTCAGGTCTTACATTCCAGGGCAAGAACGTTCTTATGACTGGCGCGGGTGCTGGTTCTATCGGTGCGGAAGTCCTGCAAGGCCTGATTAGCGGTGGTGCCAAGGTGGTTGTTACCACAAGCCGTTATTCGCGTGAAGTTACGGAGTACTACCAAGCAATGTATGCCCGCTACGGTGCCCGTGGCTCACAGCTTGTGGTTGTCCCTTTCAACCAAGGTAGCAAGCAAGATGTAGAAGCCCTTGTTAACTACATATATGATACGAAGAAGGGGCTCGGCTGGGATCTTGACTATGTAGTCCCGTTCGCTGCCATCCCAGAAAATGGTCGGGAGATCGATTCGATTGATTCCAAGTCGGAGCTTGCTCACCGCATCATGTTGACCAACCTTTTGCGGCTCCTAGGCTGTATCAAATCTCAAAAGCAGAGCAATGGCTTCGAAACACGACCGGCCCAGGTAATCCTTCCCCTATCACCAAACCACGGTACATTCGGGAATGACGGCTTGTACTCCGAGTCCAAGCTAGCTTTGGAGACGCTCTTCAACCGTTGGTACTCGGAGAGTTGGAGTAACTACCTTACCATCTGCGGTGCTGTTATTGGCTGGACTCGTGGGACGGGTTTGATGAGTGGAAACAACATGGTCGCGGAAGGAGTTGAGAAACTTGGCGTCCGCACTTTCTCTCAGCAGGAGATGGCCTTCAATTTGCTGGGTCTCATGGCTCCTGAAATTGTCAATTTGTGTCAACTTGACCCTGTTTGGGCCGATTTGAATGGTGGACTACAATTCATTCCTGACCTAAAAAGCCTTATGACGAAGCTCCGTACCGACATCATGGAAACAAGCGACATTCGCCAAGCGGTCATCAAAGAAACTGCCATCGAGAACAAGGTTGTCAATGGAGAAGACAGTGAAGCGCTGTACAAGCGTGTTGTTGCTGAGCCTCGAGCCAATATTAAGTTCGAGTTTCCCAAACTCCCCACCTGGGACGAGGAAATACAACCCCTCAATGAAACTCTCAGGGGTATGGTCAACTTGGACAAGGTTGTTGTTGTTACTGGCTTCGCTGAAGTCGGACCTTGGGGTAACTCGCGAACCCGCTGGGAAATGGAAGCTCATGGAAAATTCTCTCTTGAGGGGTGTGTGGAAATGGCATGGATCATGGGGCTTATCAAACACCACAACGGTCCGCTGAAAGGCAAGTCATACTCGGGCTGGGTTGATGCAAAGACTGGGGAACCAGTAGACGACAAAGATGTCAAGCCGAAGTACGAGAAATATATTCTGGAGCACTCTGGTATCCGCCTCATTGAACCTGAGCTATTCAAGGGGTATGACCCCAAGAAGAAGCAGCTGCTCCAGGAGATTGTCATTGAGGAGGATCTGGATCCATTCGAGGCCTCTAAAGAAACCGCTGAAGAATTTAAGCGAGAGCATGGTGACAAAGTTGAGATCTTTGAAGTTCCTGAGTCGGGAGAGTACACTGTTCGTCTCAAGAAGGGCGCCAACCTCCTGATTCCCAAGGCTCTCCAGTTTGACCGCCTTGTTGCAGGCCAAGTGCCAACTGGCTGGGACGCTAAGCGGTATGGCATTCCCGACGACATCATTGAGCAGGTTGACCCTGTGACCCTGTTTGTTCTTGTCTGTACAGCTGAAGCGATGCTGTCGGCCGGTATCACTGATCCTTACGAGTTCTACAAGTATGTCCATTTATCTGAGGTGGGTAATTGCATCGGCTCTGGAATTGGAGGAACCCATGCTTTGCGAGGAATGTATAAGGATCGGTACCTAGACAAGCCACTTCAGAAGGATATCTTGCAGGAGTCATTCATCAACACTATGAGTGCGTGGGTTAACATGTTATTGCTCTCCTCTACCGGACCTATTAAGACGCCTGTTGGTGCTTGTGCAACGGCTGTGGAGTCAGTTGACATCGGGTACGAGACTATTGTCGAAGGAAAGGCCCGCGTCTGTTTTGTTGGTGGTTTTGATGACTTCCAGGAAGAGGGCTCATATGAGTTCGCCAACATGAAGGCTACTAGTAATGCTGAGGACGAATTTGCCCACGGGCGTACACCGCAGGAGATGTCACGTCCTACCACGACCACTCGTGCCGGCTTCATGGAATCGCAAGGTTGCGGTATGCAGCTCATCATGAGCGCTCAGCTCGCACTGGACATGGGGGTGCCGATCCACGGTATTATTGCTTTGACAACTACGGCTACTGACAAGATCGGTCGCTCGGTTCCTGCACCCGGTCAGGGTGTCCTTACGACTGCGCGGGAGAACCCTGGCAAATTCCCATCGCCCTTGTTGGACATCAAGTACCGCCGCCGGCAGTTAGATTTGCGCAAGAAGCAGATCAAGGAGTGGCAAGAATCTGAGTTATTATATCTTCAGGAGGAGGTTGAGGCCATGAAAGCCCAAGACTCTGAGTCATTCAACGTGTCTGAATACATGCACGAACGAGCCCAACACATTGAGCGTGAGGCCGTCCGCCAGGAGAAGGATGCACAGTTCAGTCTCGGCAACAATTTCTGGAAGCAGGATTCCCGCATTGCTCCTCTGCGTGGCGCTCTTGCCACTTGGGGCCTCACTGTTGATGACATCGACGTCGCTTCCTTCCATGGTACCTCCACTGTTGCAAATGATAAGAATGAATCGGATGTCATTTGCCAGCAGATGAAGCATTTGGGCCGTAAGAAGGGAAACGCAGTCCTGGGTATCTTCCAGAAATACCTGACTGGACACCCCAAGGGTGCCGCCGGAGCTTGGATGTTCAACGGGTGCCTGCAGGTTTTGGATAGTGGCCTAGTTCCTGGCAACAGGAACGCTGATAATGTGGACAAGGTGCTCGAAAAGTTCGACTACATTGTCTACCCCAGCCGCAGTATTCAAACAGATGGTGTGAAGGCATTCTCAGTCACCTCTTTCGGTTTCGGTCAGAAGGGTGCACAAGTTATTGGTATCCACCCCAAGTATCTATACGCTGCTCTTGACCGCGCACAGTTTGAGGCCTACAAGGCCAAGGTTGAGGCCAGACAAAAGAAGGCGTATCGGTTCTTCCACAACGGCCTGATCAACAACAGCATCTTTGTTGCTAAGAACAAGGCGCCATATGAAGATGAGCTTCAAAGCAAAGTCTTCCTCAACCCTGATTATCGGGTTACTGTTGACAAGAAATCTTCCGAGCTTAAGTTTCCTGCAGCTCCCCCAAAGGTCGCCGGTAAGGGAGTTGAAAGCACAAAGCAGGTAGTTGAGTCGCTGGCGAAGGCTCACGCTGTTGAAAACTCGAAGGTGGGAGTTGATGTGGAAAACCTGGAGTCTCTCAATATTGAAAATGAGACGTTCATCGAGCGAAATTTCACTGCTGAAGAGCAGCAATACTGTCGCAAGGCAGCTTCACCCCAAGCATCATTTGCCGGACGGTGGAGTGCGAAGGAGGCTGTTTTCAAATCCCTTGGTGTTAGCAGCAAAGGTGCCGGTGCTCCGTTAAAGGACATCGAAATCACTAGCGATGCAACAGGGGCCCCGGTTGTTAATGTGAGTCTACCCCTGTCTTTATTTTACGGTTAACTCATGCAACTAACATCTTTTACAGCTTCATGGTGCTGCAGCCGAGGCGGCCAAACAGGCCGGTGTGAAACAAGTCAGTGTCAGCATCAGCCACAGTGATTCTCAAGCAGTAGCAGTAGCCGTGTCCACATTCTAATGGTTTGACGATCAAGCTGGGCTAAATTATATGTATTTAAGTATAGATAATTTCTTTTCATTGTTGCTTAATCCTCCCCTGGCATAGGCCACCACATTTCTTGGAATTAGATTATCCCCGGCTGTGAGCTTATCAGGTATAATAACCTCTTTCTGAGGTGCTACTGACCCACATCAATTTTTTCCGAATCAATTATTGCGAACTGTGTCACACCAATCGACCAAGCATATATACGTTTCTCCCCCCTCACTTGTCTTACGCGAATGCTACATCTAAGGCAGATAATTAGAGTAACTCCGACACACATTGCCACGAATTATTCTATTCCATAAATAATTCGCTACTAAACAAACCACACCGTCGAATACGGGACGACATGGATTCTCAGCTCTGCCCGCGCCCAGACGCTCGATTTAATGGACCCCAGTTAGCGCGAGGGTTGATTTGATATCTGACGAGTCGTTTTTTGGTCACTTCTCTGCCTAGAGATTCGTCGAAAACAACATCTAACGTGCTGGTATTAGATTTTATTGTAAATGTTCCATGGGCTTGGTTGGTGCTCTGAGCCTCCTTCTGCATATTGGCAACTCGAGAATCGGACTCGTTTTGGTTCAACACCTGCCAGAAGCCGGAACGATATAGCGCGGCTTCGACTTTCGTCACTACATCAGAGATATCCTTCCCATTTTCGGCGGCAGACACGATCTCTTGCCTCAGCAAACATAAATTTTTGTCGCCTTCGTTCGGCTTCTGAAGGTTTTGCCGGCTTTTCGCCATGATAGCAGCGCCGGCAGTGCCAGGCTTAATGGCATTTTCTTTGATAGGTGATTTCTGCCTGACCCATTCTCTCATGATCTCCCAAATCACATCCCAAGGTGCATCTGTGCGGATAGTATTGGGTTTGGTGTGGCTACGGGTACATTGGTAACCCAGGTGTCGCACAGCTCCACGGAAAGCATCGGAAGAGATGGTAGATGTATGAAGGACTTTTGAGAGAGCACTCAGACTGAAATAGAATGGATACGGCTCTCGAAGAGCCGGGTCCATGCGCGGAATAATAGCTGGATCATCATTTAGTGCAGCATCCTTGGTCTTGGAGATAGTAGGCTCTAAACTGGCACTCCTTATAGAGGTATTGCAAATCAAGTCCTCCTCAAGTGCTGTAGTTAACATGCCTTCGATCCTGTCTACCGTTTGATATATGCTTCTATCCGCCTCAGGAAGCATATCGAGAACTCTTCGGATGAAGTGAGGGTTATGTAGTGGCCCCGCCCACATTGGGCCGCCTATGTGAGTTTTCATCCCACAGTGCGCACAGGTCATGTTTGCCATCGGTCCCTGGGCGAATCCGTAATGATAGAAAGGGTTCCCTTTTTTATCCAGTCGTGGCTTCGTTTGGGTCAAAGGCTGTGTTGACCAAGCTCCACAGCCTGAATCACAGTTGTAAACAACCATTGTATTGCCAGAGGCAAACTTAACTTCTGCTGGTGATCGATGAACGCGGACAAAGACTCGGGCGTAGAAGTCGATTGACAGAGATAGAAGTGGCTCGATAGCCAGGCCGTACTTGGCAGCTGACACCGCGAGTGCGTGAAGAATTAGGCGTAGCCCACCTTCATGGGAATGTGTACCTTTCGTTGGCACGCCGCCATACAATGCGTATGATTTTTCCGGGTACCCGTTGGATGCCCAAACCCCAGCATCGGTGCAGGTCACGCAAAGCAAACCCCCATCCTTGACAGCCTGTAGAGCAGAGTCCATAAACGGTGCAGCCGTCCCATAAGGATCCAGATCAATAGTATCAAACTTCCCAGTGTGCGGTCCACTGGCCTGAGTGGTGGCTGGGTTAAGAGTACTGTACATGTAAGTCCGCGCATCACCGGTGTTAGGTTGAATAAGCTTTCCAAGTCCGTTGTATTCGATGTTCAACTTCATTGATTTGATAGCAGACGGCGAAAGATCATTCGCAACCACGCGAGTAGCAAATGGAATCTCTGACGCATATCGTAGTGCACGCAAACCCGTAGCAGACAGAGCATCTAAAATAGTAAATGATGGCATGGTATCTTCTCCAGCCTGCGATTCTGAGGCCAGATGATCACTGCTTCCTGTCTGGTTGTCAATGTTGTTTCCCTTACCGTTTGGTTCCTCTTCATCGCCATCCTCCCTCTTCCGTTTCTTGCCCTTTAAATTCCCATCCACTGCACCCCTTTTCTGCCTCCTTTCGGCTCTCCGCTTCTTTAAAGCCAGCACATGTTCCCCATAGGCTTTGATCGCAAGTACACTCAGGTCACGATTGAATTGCTGGATAGGATTGTAGAATACAGACTGAGCTTCATCCTCCGCTTTGAGGTTTCTTCTTGTTCCTGTGGAGGCTGCAGCCTGGGAAGGTGGGTTCAGAATGAATGCATTCCCTTCTTTCACCACGTGATATTCTTTGCCGTCATACTGAACGACTTGACTTAAAAAACCAGACGCTGGTTCTGCCGCCATGTTTGATAACCGTGAACAGCAATATCGTATAGAAAATGGGAAGCCGGGGGCAAGCTGGGACGTTCTAAGTCGAGGGAAGATCAGAGCATTGGGCCGTCTAAAGTCGAAGGCCAAGCGAAGTGTCGAGATACGGTAAGGACGCCAGAAGCTCAAGCTCATCGGCTCCGGTGTAGAGAGCCCAATTCGTAAGGCAACAGAAGTGTTTATCTTGGAACGGTTGGTTATAAGTTTGGTCCGCGGAATGAACGAGGGAAGGAAAAAAAAATGACCAGAGATCGGAGATAACGCACGGGCCATGATTAAATCTCCAACACAATCTCACGTGGAGTACCCCGTATATGCCAACAACATACGGAGTACATACATGTCCGTATTGTTTGGGGAAAGGAATTGCCTCCTTGTCTCTTAATGGAGCTATCAAGCAAGTTTTGTTATTTACTACAGTGTTGTACATACATGAGCTTCGACAGAAGAGCTTGCCTCTCCCTTCTCTGCATACATAAAGTCCGAACTAGTCTCCAACCACGCACCCATTTCATAGCAAGGGCCCCAGAATAGGTACTTGTTTATAAATTTTATTCCAACCACTGGCCTCCCAGCCCGAACCCTGGCCTCCACGACCAACTATTCCCAGAGCGCCCGCGAGCCAGATAGCTGTTCCTACCGCGGCAACGCCATTGACTATCCACCGCATTTTTCTCTTTCTTTTGACCTGCTCTTCGCTTTCTGTGTACCCCAAGTAGCATTCAAGTGAGCCTTTCTTACAACCTCGCCCCTTCTGAGCCGTAGTGACCCTCCAACCCATCCAAGTAGCCCAACCTCCAATGATATGCCACATACCAACAGCGGCAAGGACCACATAGTACACATTCCAGAAGACAGGGTTTCGTGCGATTCCATGAGCCACATAACCCAAACCCACTCCCGAACTCCCACCATCGACGATCAAAGGCGTGACACGGTTAACGAGGACATGGGCGCCAAGGAATGGAACAAAGCAGTACCCTAGACGCGCTTGCAGGCTCATCCGTGGCCAGAAATTCAGGGAGTATCTCTGGGCGGCGAGAAGAACGAATATTGCGGAGAACAATGCCGGAAGCGATATGAATTAGGATGGGAACGGTCAGGACCACATGCTCAAGCCCCGGGGACTGATAGATGGGTCTCGTAAGAAGCAGATATGTTTCACTATCTAGAACCGACCGAGTTGCTAGAGGGAAAAGGGAGGTGTTGGCGAAATGTAGCGCAAAGAATAAGGTGGGGGGGTACGTTGAGTATCTCTGAAGTGCGGATACTAGAGTAACCCGACCGTTAGCTCAAATAAAACACAAAATAGTCAACAGGACATACACCATGAATCCCAGTTGTGTCCACGGAGACCTAGGCTAAACGAAGGCAGCCCGACTTCTGATCTACCCCCAAGCTTTGCTGGACGGCCTTGTGATTGAAAGACGTATTGGCCACTTTCGAGATCGGGAAATTCATCCTGCACTGGCGAGGGGTCCAACTCCTGCATAGAAATTGTTGAGCGCGTATCGATGTCCTTGGGTTTTGGCGAGATACTTTCTTTGGAGGTCATGATAATAGATTGAATCCCGTCAGCCTTTTGCAGGTAACAAGGCGGACTGGGGGAGCGAATTGTTTCTTTCTTTCTGTTTTTCTTTTTTCCCTACTTTTTGCCTCTATTTAATCATCGGAATAGAGGTATCATCAATATCGCCATGTATAAAATGGGATATAATATTCTTGCAGTATTTCATCACTTTAATCCGTGCTTCCAACAATGCAGCCATTACGATTGGTTGGGAGGCTACCGGTGGGGAAGCTTAGCCAATAGAGGAAGGTCCTACTACATACTACCTACTCTAGCTGCGGGTCTGGATTCATCTTTGAGCAACCTTCTTAGGCACAACGACATCAAAACACCCCAAGACATAATTCGTTTTGTCGCCCTTTCTCCACCCCTATTTCAGTGAGATTATCGTTCAAACACACATGGTTTCTCAACACAACTAAATCTTTCATTCGTTTCCTTCGCACTGCTGTGCACTATAGCAAAATGGCACCTGTATGTCTATCGTGTTACAACACCGAGACCCTGTTAAGCTATATGGTGGAAGATTCCGTTGTTGATGAGCTGATTTCCAATCAAACCAGCGTGGCTTTACCAATCCCGCCCCCAAAGTATGGCTCAATCCAACTAATGAACCGCGAAAGCTTGGTCCCTCTTGACTAATTCACGAGCTTCGTTATAGACTGAGTCTGCTCGCTCTGCTTTGAGCTCCTTTACCTGTACACTCTGCAACAAATCCTATTCGCGACATCCCGAGTATGAAGCACATATCTCTTCCTACGATCACCAGCATCGCAAACGCCTTCAAGACCTTAAACAACTCTCCCGAGACCCAAATGCTGCGGAGAAAGCTAGGCGAGCGGAAAGGAGGGCTGACGCAGAGGCTGGCCTAAGAGTCATTGATACCAAAGCCGGTGCAGCAGTGGGAACCGGGGGCGGAGGTGGCGGAGGTGGCGGAGGTTTCAAGAAAGGGGGGTTCAAAAGCTCCTTTACAACTGTCAAAGGTCCCGTCGCTCCGACAGCACCAACGAAGAAGAACGTACTTGGGGATGATGATGACGAAGATGAAATTCCAGATATTACTAATATAAGCCAACGTGCTCAGGCTACCCAAGACTCAAGTGATCATCCTGATTATGCAGAAAGTGACACGGATGCTGAATATGCGAGTGAAACAATGGGTAGTGCCTACTATGATCCCCTTAAGCCGACGGGCTGCTTCTCTGGTTGTGTCAGCACCAAACATATACCCATAGGTGCCGCTGCGGTCAAGGGGTAGGTTCGGTCGCCATGAAGATCATCGAAAAATGGTTGGCGTTCTTATTCGGATTAGGGATTGTTTGCCCTTTTCTTTTTGTTGTTCTACTTCTTATTTTTTTTTTTTTTTTAGAACCTTGCAAGGGCCGTAGGATAATCATCTGTAGGTGCCGGGCGTACTACCTAGTATGAATACCTTCGATGATACTCAAAGTATACCCCTTCGTACAATGCTTTCGGATACTCCTCTTAGGAATCCGATAGAATTCCAGAGATGCCACAATACCACCATCAGAGACACGAAACGTATCTTGAGAAAATAATATGGACATATTACATGGTAGCCCTTGAAAATGCAAATAAGGTTGTTCTTAAGTATAGTCGTACAGATTTCCAACGCGAGAATTTAGCGGTAAGCCCCGCGAAAACAAAAAAAAAAAAAAAAATGTATGCAACGATAAAAGGGTACTAGACACAGGGTGATTACTCAGGTTTCTTTATCTCCTCCACTTCTCATCTCAAACCAATTTACAAGCGTAGAAGCTTAGTGGCCTGGCCAAGGATAGTGTCTACCTGAGGGAAGCTCATCTGCTCAAGACCGACGGCGTAAGGAGTAGGCACCTCAGCGCCGGTGACACGAACGGCGGGGGCAGTCAGGTAGTCAAAGCCATACTCCATAGCTAAAGCCAGGATTTCTGAGGAGACGCCGAACATGGGGAATCCAGATTCGACGCACATGATGCGGCCGGTCTTCTTGAGCGACTGAACAATTGTCTCGACATCAAGGGGCTTAACGGAGCGGAGGTTGATCACCTCGGCTTCAACACCATATTTCTGCTTTAGTTCAGCGGCAGCGTTCAGAGACAGTCCCACGCAGCGAGAAAGAGAAACAATAGTCAAATCCTTTCCGGGACGTTCAATCTTAGCCTTGCCAATAGGCAAGACAAAGTCGTCCTTCTGAGCGGCCTCGCTCATGGGGAAGGCTTGACCATACAAGAGTCTATGCATTGTTAGTTTAGAATATCCCAAGTCATCATACTTGCTTTAGTCACACATACTCGTTCTCCAGAACAACGACAGGGTTGGGGTCGCGAATAGCAGCCTTCAACAAACCCTTGGCATCCTCAGAGCTCCACGGCGAAACAACCTTCAGTCCGGGAATGCTACCGTACCAAGCCGAGTAGTCCTGTGAGTGCTGAGCGGCAACACCAGCGGCGAATCCATTGGGGCCACGGAAAGTGACGTTGCAGGGCTGAATACCACCAGACATATAGTGGGTCTTAGCGGCAGAGTTGATGATTTGATCAATAGCCTGCATGGCGAAGTTGAAGGTCATAAACTCGCACTAAATTTTGAAGCTGCTTGTCAGTTGACAGGATGCCTCCAGCGGTCGACAGTTAAGTATCTGGTCGATATGAACTTACAATGGGATGCAGGCCAGCAAGAGCAGCGCCAACCGCTAGACCGCAAAAGCCTGCTTCTGTGATAGGCGTATCAATGACTCTCTTGGGGCCGAAACGGTCCAAAAGACCTCTTGTCACTTTGTAACTATGAGGGTCAAATGTCAGTGCTGGACCCAAGACTCGACAGAGTTTCTTTCAAGGGATAGCCATACGCTCCGTTATACTGTGCGACCTCCTCTCCCAGGATGAACGTTTTCGGGTTCGTCTCCAATTCCTCCGCGAGAGCTTCGTTCAAGGCATCACGAACAGTGACTTCCTTAACACCGCCTTCCGTAGCATAGCCCCGGAAGCGCAGGATGGAGGGAGCGCATGCCGATTGGGTGAAGGCCGGACGGCGAGGAGCAGAGAGACGCGACGAAAGCAGACGAGCTGCAGGGCGGAAAAGTCGGGGAGCAGCCATGGCCGGGCTTAGGGACATATATATCAGCAGAAGAAAAGAGAGGGTGTTCACAAGGACTCCGCAGCGAACGGATTAACAAGTGACGTGAGAAAGGAAAGAGAGAAGATAGATACCGGAGCGAAGGCTTCGCAATTCCGTTGTTTCGGGACTTGGTCGTCAATCTAATGGGGATTTTAGTTTTTGGTGAGCATTTCGAGAGACTGTTGGGTTGGGGATGACTAATCACAGGGCGGTCCTCACCGGCGGCTCATTCCGTAGGAGTGATAACAGATGCGATAACGCTGGACTCCGTACTCCGTTCCTCTCCTCGTGTACTACGGATATTCCTCGACTTCTTCCGACCGTTCGCCCGTTCATTCAGTATTATTGTTATGATAGTAAGAAGGATGATCTACGATCGATTCTATTCCCATGTTCTCTCCTTTTCTGCACTCGTCGCTCCCATCCTCGCTCGTCAACCGTCCGCTCCGGAAGCCATCGCGGCCCCTTTGCGTGACCTGAAATGGGGACAACTCAATTTTCTCCATACTACGGATACTCATGGCTGGCTAGCCGGCCATCTTCAGGAGTATGCCCATTGAGCTGGACATGAATTCCACTGCGGATGCCAACCGATACTAATTGGACCCACTATAGGCCCTCCTACTCCGCAGACTGGGGTGACTATGTCTCCTTCGCCGCCCGGATGCGAGAGAAAGCGGAGGCACAAGGGCAGGATTTATTAGTTATAGATACGGGTGACAGGGTAGAAGGCAATGGCCTCTATGACTCGTCGGAGCCGAAAGGCGTCTATATCTCGGAAATTCTGCGGCAACAGCACATCGACCTATTGTCGGCCGGGAATCATGAACTATACAAACAAAACACCTCGGAGGCTGAACTCTTCACTACAGTCCCTAATTTTCACGGAAACTACCTAGCATCTAACATTGATATAATACATCCTTTGACCAAAGAGACTGTGCCATTGGCTCCTCGGTTCAAGAAATTCACAACCAAGAAGCAAGGTATCCGTATCATTGCTTTTGGCTTTCTTTTCGATTTCACAAAGAACTACAATAACACTATCGTTCAGCCGGTGGAAGAGACTATCAAAGAGGATTGGTTTCAGGAAGCTATCAGGGACAATGAAGTTGACCTCTTCTTAGTGATGGGGCACGTTCCTGTTCATTCTAAAGAATACGATGCTGTCTTCAAGGAGATCCGGACGATCCGTTGGGACATACCTATTCAGTTCTTTGGTGGTCATTATCATATCCGTGATTTTGCCAGATACGACTCCACAGCGTTTGGGTTAGCAAGCGGTCGGTTCATGGAAACAATTGGCTTCATGTCAATCGATGGCCTAACCAGTAGCAAACACCTCGTAAAGCCTGCGTCCACAACCCCAAGCTTTCATCGAAGATATATAGATAATAACCTTTATTCCTTTTACCACCACACTGGCCTTGACGAGGAAACCTTTTCTACGGAGAAGGGTCGGAATGTGTCTCGGCTTATCCAGCAGTCTAGGAGCACTCTTCAGCTCGATAAGATACATGGCTGTGCCCCTCGGGATCTTTGGATGTCGCGTGTCAAGTATCCGAGTGAGGATAGCATTTATACTTGGCTCGAGCAGGAGGTGCTGCCCAACTCGCTACAGGACAAATCTCGCGCTGGCAAGCCGGCTCTTGCCATAGTCAACACCGGCGCCATTCGCTTTGACATATTCAAAGGTCCTTTTACTCAAGACTCAATATTCATGGTATCTCCTTTTACCAGCGGTTTTCGTTACGTTAAGGACATCCCTTACGGGAAGGCCACTTTAATAACTGAGATCCTAAACAAACAGCCTCAGATTTTGGCCGATGCTGACAACCGATCCGCTATCACTGGGGGACTTGCGCCCCCAGAACAGTCGGTTTATTCTTCTGATTTAATTTTTGACAATAGCCTCACCCTGGGCTCTACGAATTATCTCAGAGATCAAACGCCGTTGCTGAGGAACGATCACTCCAAACCCAGCATTACCCCTGGCTATATTACCACAGACGATGAGGGCTCGGATGGCGATGACACAATTCATTCATCCATCTCGTTCTATCGTGTCCCCAATTGTATCCAGGCTCTAATCTCTCCGAAAGTGTCGGCCGCGCTGGAAACAGTGGATCTCGTATATATTGATTTCATAGAAACACATGTGGCTCTAGCAGCCAGATTTGCGGGGCTAGATATAGACTTCGCCCAGGACAGTAATGTGTACATGCCGGCTACGAGATTAACAGATCTGATCTTGGATTGGGTCAAGGACAATTGGAGTTGTAAGGAAGTGTGAAGTATTGCGGGAAACGACCCTTTTCTACTATCGTTACTTTATTGTATCTTAGCTCAATCGTTCTGCGCAATTGTGGGCAGACACAAGCATTGTTTGGCACATGACTATCGTAAATTTTCAGTCTCCGCCTTCGTACCTGAGGAGGCCCTTTCCACTGCGGTAGCCACTCAAGGTTTCCTGCACGCCAGAGGTGAGCGCCGCACCGTCTGTGTCCCATGCCCATTTTATTTCCTCCACGGGGATGTCTTTGAATTTGCCCGCTCGAGTCAGCTGTAGCACATCGTTGATAGTGTTCTCTTTGAGTTGGGGATGCTTATCCCCCCATTTGCTCACCCAAAATCCATCGAAGACGAGATTCTTAAAGATCAATAGTCCGGAAGGTAAGGAAACCGGCTGCTTTGACATCGCACCATAGGTGACCAGGTGGGAACCTGGAGCGAGGGTCTTCGCCAATGCGGTGGCGTTCTTACCACCCACACAGTTCAGAGCAAGTCGGATCGGCTCCCTCCCGTTGCGAGTGAGGCCGCTCACCACGTTCTTGAAATCTCCTGAAAGAAGCTCCGCTTCTGTGACTACTGCAGTGGCACCTAATTCATGAAGCTCAGCCTTCAGGACTTCTGTCTCCTGCGGCGTCTTCCTCTCCCGAATGACATTGATCGTCTTAATACCCCATTCTCGCGCGAGTTGAATGGCAGCGCGACCAACACCACTGTTTGCCCCATTTTGAATCAGCCATTCCTCCCCACTCCGCATCCAGTCCCATTCACAGAAGTCCTTGATCATGCGGTAAGCTGTGACTGGATTGACGCTGACTGTGCTAATCTGGAGCGGTGATAGACCATCTTTGTTCTCAATTTTAATCAGCTGTGACTCATCCATCTGAGCGTGTGTGCGCCAGGTGCCCTGTCCTGTCTGCTTCATGACAACCCAATCACCCTTGCTGAGGTTCTTGACATTGGATCCTGTCGCAATTACCTCAAATGCGCCCTCATTTCCACCCACTGCGCATGGGTCCTGGGTACCAAGGGTTGTCTGGAATGGCGGTTTGCTCGGATACACTCCCTGGATCTGGTTCACGTCGGCGGGGTTCAGAGGCGCTGCAAGGAGGCGAAGAGTAACTTGGGATCCGTGCGGGGGGGAGATAGAATGCTTGTGGAGGCTACAGATGAGCTGGTTAGGCAAAATTCATTGTTCTCACGTCTCAAGTAGTTGATTTATGTGAGCTCCCAGTATCACTTACCGTAGAACATCTTTGGGTTCACCATATCGTGAGTATACGAGTGCTTTTGATTGTGTATAACCATAGACTGAAATGTGTCTTTTCCCAGTCCATGAGCGAGACGGTGTTCCTATACACTGGCGGGCAACAGTAGGAACAGAAGCGGCTCCATAAGCTTTCCAGAAAAGGGACCCATGGCTGCGAGAGAGGGACCGCACTACACTATGCGAGAACATAGTATCAGTTGTTATGGTCCGCCGGTTACTGAGAGATTGAGAAGGTAAGGGTGTGAGGGAAAAGAGTGCGGTGCAGCTTGAAGAAAATGAATGAGATGCCGGGTACGTTAAATGACGTCGTTCCTTTGACTCGGGCCGACGGACGCTAAACGTGAACCGGCGTTGGACATTTTCCTCTGTTTACTTCTTCTAAACAGTCGAACTTCGGCTTCCTTCTCCTACATAAATTCACTCTAAATGTCCCTTCTGCGGGAGGCTGAGAAATGCATTGCTAATCAGAAGTCTCATGTCGCCCTCAATGCCTTCATAACTGCACTACAGCCTTCGGGGCAGTGGCGGGAACAGGTGAAAGATGCAGACCTCAGAACGGAGCAAGGTGAGTTGTTGAATCGCTATTAGACATTATCGATACTGACTTTGCTTTGCCTTCTTCCTTCAGGGATACCCAGATCCAAGGTAGACGGCCGGTTGATTGCTATCAAAGATAACATATGCACATACGACCTTCCGACAACATGCGCTTCCCAAACCCTCGAGAAGTTCGTAAGTCCATTTAACTCCACCGTCGTGGAGCAATTACAAGATGCAGGCGCTGTAGTTGCCGGAAAGACAAATCTTGATGAATTTGGCATGGGTTCTCATTCAGTCTATTCGCGATTTGGGCCGGTGAGGAGTTTCTGGCAGGGTCGCGATGCCGAACCCCTCTCAGCCGGTGGCAGTTCAGGAGGGAGTGCAGTTGCAGTCGCCACAGGCCAATGTTATGCGTACGTTCTCTTCTCGGCATCTCCGCCAAATAGGTTCACTGAATAACACAACTGGCAGCGCGTTGGGTACAGACACTGGAGGGTCTGTTCGCCTTCCGGCTGCATACACTGGGACAATTGGTTTCAAACCATCTTATGGATTGATCTCGCGATGGGGTGTAGTCGCATATGCCAACTCACTGGACACGGTTGGGATTCTAGGAAGAAGTACAGCCAGCGTTCGCGATGTCTTCAGTACGTTTTCCTACCTTCCCCATGTTATGTCTTACTCTACGCGCGGGTTTCTAATGCGTCTTCAGATGTTGTGAACCAGCACGATCCGCGCGATCCTACTAGTCTCTCGCCATTATCTCGCTCACGAATACTTTCATATCTCCAGTCACCGTCTTGCGCATCTCGACTAACCTCCGCCCCCCTCAGAATTGGTGTTCCCACAGAATATAACATATCCGAACTTCACCCTGCTGTCCGACGCGCTTGGTCCCGTACTCTAGCTTATTTGCAACGGCAAGGTCACAGCATTCATGCGATATCCCTACCGACGACGAAACTAGCATTGTCAGCATACTATGTGCTGGCTCCTGCCGAAGCTTCTTCAAACTTGGCCAAGTAC